GGGATCTACGATCAGTCGTTAACCCCAATTGACAATTGTAACTGCTACTTTAGTTCCTGCTAGAACTGAGAGATGCAAACGGTGTTTGGCCTGAAGAGTTGCGTGCTTCGTTAACTGGAACACAGATATCGTCGTTGGCGTGTACCACAGGTATGACTTTGTTGTAGTTCTTTTAAATATTTCAGGCATAGCATTAGCGAAATACGACACTGTGGAGTTAGCATGTGCTCAGTTGCCCTTTGATGTAAAGCTGATTGGTATATTGAAACGTTCGAATTTTAGCAATCTGGTGATCCTTTATTCTGGAGTTTTGGAAGTTCAATTTTACAGCCCTTTAGATTAAAATAAAGTTACATGGATTCCTATGAAAAATAGCTTTTGCTCTTCCAGGGCGTGATTTTCTGTTTAGTCACCTGTTGTAAACGTTGCATGTTTGAGGTCGTCCTGGTGCCGTGGGTCTTGTGAATTCTGGCAACTTTTGCTACCGTAATGCGGCTATACAATGTCTTGCACGTGTCTCACCTCTTACGGAATACTTATTGAACGAAGCAAGTTTGAATGCTTTGAAGAAGTAAGTTTCTCTTGATTGGATTGAACTATTTTTCTTGAATAGTAAGGTAAACGAAAAGAGCGAGCTATTGTCGATGCTTAGAAAAAAGTAAGTATTGTTTGAAGAAAGAAAGTGAAAAATATTCGGGTAACTAGCGGTATTGCTGGTATTGCTTATTGCTATTTTCACCCTACTCTTTCCTGGGCATCATTTTGTATGGAAGGGGTGGAGGAGGGGCATTTTCGCTTTCGCCAATTTTTTCCTTTAGTTCCTTTTGACTTGCACGTCTTACCTTGATGATGCCTGTAGACTGTTGTCAAGTTTAAACGAAGCTCGCGCTCTTGCACAGCTTTACAGGAGTTTACAGGTCTTCACAGGTAGCATCGACAGCGATCAGTGAAAACCAGCAAATGCACCCACCGAGCCGGCTGCACCCGTCCACGTAGTGAACTGGTGAAGAGATCGTACAGTTTCAGAGGAGATACGAACAACAATGAATCCTTTGCAACAACGCTGGAGTACTCGAAACTGCTGAAAGAGATGTGGGCTGCAAAGAAGAAGAACATTTCTCCAAATAGTTTCAATGTGAGTTCATTCAAATGTTTTCAACCAGGAGCAGCATGGGGCGCGCTGCATGCACTAACGACAAAATTAGTCAAGCTTTCACTGACGCCAGTGAATTGAATTATCCAAATATTCCCTTTCGCCAGTGTCTTTAGTTTCTCTCAGTTCCACGTCACTGAGTTTGCGTTGCAATAAACTATGCCTTTAGGAAGCTGTAAGATTTGCTGACCAGTTCGACGATGGGGAGCAACATGACTGCCAAGAATTCGTTTCTTTCCTCATCGAACGCTTTCATACGTGTGTAGCTCGTATTGAACATAACAATTCCACTGGAGATAGCGAAAGTACGGAAAGAACATCAGAATGCGAGACAACCACCAGTGATAGCGAGAGCGATGACGCTGCAACGGATGAAGAGAAAGCAGAAAAAGTGAGTATGGATGATTTTTCTCCATTATGCTTGCTTCAGATACGGTGGTAATGAGTTAAGTGAATATGCTGTTGAATTACTAATTCGTTTTCAGTCATGGGAGCGTTACATTCGAGACAACCAGTCGCTAGTGACGTCACTGTTCTCAGGTTCATGTTTTTATCTTAGTTTTGATAGCTTTCGAAAAATTATAACTTTTCTCTTACGGCCTGCATCTTCCTGTTGGTGATTTGAGAGTGGGTTTTTATAGAACAAGTCTCACAGTAGAGGCGTTCATAGGTAAAGTATTTTCCTACACTAGTATATGACCTTACTCATAATAATGTCTACCCAATTGAAAGGGTACAGTTGTCGCCGTTGATCAATTCCTTTTCGGGATGCGACACGCAATCTACTTCCATTCGGGGTCGTAGTGGCTTATTGAATGCAATTTGACTTATGTAATGACTTGCTGGGCCCAGCCGATGTGTAAGTCAGTGTTTTTATCCCCCAAGAGGGATGTGGTGTCAATTTACCGTACCCGGAGAACAGAAGTCCTGGGCGAAAGCCGGTCAGGGATGACCTCGCACCACGCTCAT